ATCTGTAACTGGAGAGCTTATGTATTTCCTTTCAACCTTTACAGATTCAGTCACTCTGTCATCATTAGATGGCAAAAGTATTTTTTTAACAGAATCAGTTTCTAATACCTTTTCTTCTGAATACGGACTGGTAGTCAGAACATTTAGGAATCCCAGATGTTCATGGTTAGCCTGTGTACTTTCAAAGAATGGGTCTGTTGTTGTTCCTTCAGAAGATTCTATAGCTTTTGGTGAAGTTTCCCTTGGCCTGTCTTCCCCAGAATGTATATCTTCCACCAAAGGAACATTTGTAGTAAAAACTCTCACTGTCAGTTCATCAATTGTTTTCTCTTCCATTCTTATGTCAGTTACAGTTTCCATTGTGGTTACTTCATGTTCAGTATTTGTGACTAGTTCATCAGGTTTGATAGTGACGGCATGATCCACTGATGGTATGCTGGCAACTTCTTTGTCATACTTCTCTTGTGTTTCTGGTATTGCAGTGGGTGAAACAGCTGTTTTTTCAGATGACTCAATGAGTGTGTCTGCTTCTCCAGATCCCTGATCAATAAATGAGAAATGACTTCCAAGTATTTCTTCAGTAGGTCCATTAGACATTAGTTTTGTGGTGCTGCTGTCACCTTTGAATTCTTCTCCAGAGCCATGCTCAATCAGAAGAATCTTGCCTAATGAAACAGTTGAAGAACTAACTTTTGCATTTTTGCTTTCTGTTGATTCAGCTACTGCTTTTATACTGCCAGTACCATGTGTTGCGATGATTTCACGAGGGCTGTTACTAAGCACTGATTCTGTTGATACTGTGACCTCACCTGTTTCTAAATCTTCAGTTTTAACTCCTGGTGCAACATGAGATACTCTCTCTTTTCTAGAACCAGGACTAGATTTTATTTCAGAAGGAGCTGTGTAAGTTGGTTCTGTTTCTTGGTTTTGTTCTCCTGGGTTTCCCGTACTAAACACATCCTGGGACATCTGACTTGCTACTCCAGACTCCTTTGTCAAGCCTTCTGACCCAGAGCTTGAAACTGGTACTACTGATTCATCTGTTCTTGCATGTTCTTCATATTCTGTTGTTGCATTCTTCAGTGAAACATCATCTATGCTGTAAACTTTTCCTTCATGCTTTTCTGTTTGTGTTTCAGTGACAGGCCTTAACGGAACCGAATTCAAAGTAGCAGACTCAATG